GTCTTGCTAAGCAGCTTGGACTCCCAACTGCTGGGACTATAGTCGTTTGTCACCACGTCCAATTTTAGTGCTTGGTATGGCAAGTGGTACTAGAGATCCAACCAGGTCCTTGTTCTTGCCAGGCATGCACTTAGATCCCTGAGCTATCTCCCCAGTCCTCCTTCTCCTCCTCCTCCTCTCTTCTTTTCTTTTCTCTTCTTTTCTTTTCTTTTCTTTTCTTTCTTTTTTTTTTGGCGGAACCGGGGATTGCAAGCGCTTATCCTACTGAGCCATCTCCCTGGCCCCTTTTCTTTTCTCTCTCTCTCTCTCTCTCTCTCTCTCTCTCTCTCTCTCTCTCTCTCTCTTTTTGAAGCACGGTCTCAGTGTGTGGCCCAGTCTGAGTTTGAATTCACTATGCAGCCTGGGTGCTCTTCAATTCCCAGCGATCCTGCTGCTCAGCCTCTCACTGCTGGGATTCCAGACGAAGGCCACCACCCTGGTCTTGAGCTCCTTTTCTTCTAGGAAGTTAGAAAAATTAGAGAAGTGTTCATTCTGGCCTGATTGGCTGTGGTTTCCTGGGAGAAAATTGACAGTGAGAGTTTGGGATATTTATAAAAGTCTGAGGATATGAAAAAGGCCTGGAAGCACCTGTGATTGGGTGAAAAGCTTTTTTTTTTTTTTTTTTTTTGCCTGGAAAGCTTAGGGTCTTGTTTGTCTTGCCTGGGGCATCCCTGATTTTCCAGCAATTCTCCCACTCCACCCTGAAACCACATGCCAACCCAGGCTTAAGGAACACATTCCCACACTCCCACCCTGCACCAGTTCGCCCTCCATTGGCATCGACCCTCTAATGCCCTCCTGCAGGCCCCACCTAACCAACCCCACCCAAAGCCCACCCACTTACCACCCAACCTTCACAACCCCCCCATTCCATTCTCCTGCCTCCAACTCCTCTTAGCCCACTCCCACCATCATCCCACTATTCTGCCCTGGCACTCCACCCCACCCCCTTCTCTTGTACCCCACCTCACAGCCGGACCCATCCCCCATCTCCCCTGTAATGTAGCAGAGTATTCCAGTTGGTGCTCATTTGGGCATAAAAACTACTGTGCCTCTGGTTGTGTGAAACAACTGTAGAGATGGAATAATGAGAATAGATGACACTGATTTGTGTATCTTCTATTCTACACTTTTTATATCATTTTAGAGTATTCTTTTTGTACATTAGTTTTAAAAAGGTGTCCCATAAAATGTGTAATAGCTTCACAAGCTAGTGACACCTGGTCTCTGGAGCTCATGAAGAACCCCAATCAGTGGCTGAGCTGTCCATTTAGGTTTGTGTGACCCTCACTCAGTGATGCTCAGACAGTGAGGAAACCAGCTGAGGACAGGTGTTGGGTTCCTGTCAGTCAGGGACTCCTGACAGTACTCTGAGACCTATGAGATAGTGTCCAAGGAATTTTAAGCTAATCTAAACAAATGAATAGAGGACGGCTGAGATAGCTCAGTGGCTTAAGTGCCTGCCTGGCAAGTGTAAGGTCCTGAGTTCAGCCCCAGTACCAAAAAACAAAAACAAAAACACCAAATGAGTGGAAAATTAATACTATCATCGTGCTCTCAGCGTGGCACAGCAAATGCCATATCCCAGGCGGCTTCAGCAGATTTGTTTCTCACTATGGTGGAGGCTTGGAAGCCTGAAAGGAAGGTGCTGGCTGATGGGGTCTCTGGTGAGGGCCCCTTTAGTGAATTGCAGAACCCTCTTGCAGTGTCTTCACAGGGCAGAGTGAGAGAGCTTTCCACCTCATAAGAGCACTAATCCCATGCAGCGGGCTCTACCCTTAGCTCTCTTCCCTTCCCAGAGGTCCTGCCTCCAACGCCATCGCATTGGGAAGTAGGGCTCAATAGGTACATTTTGGGAGGATTCCAACATTGACATTCAAGTGGAACTGGAGGAGATTCCAAAAGCCAATATAGTCTGGAAGCAACACCAGGAGGGATCTTAGCAGGTCAGTGCAGACTGTGAACTTAGAGCCTGTGTGCTGAGTCCTCTCACACTTACTCAGAAGGAATTTGTCATGTGATCATGTTTGAGACACCCTGCATCTTCGTAACCGAGTGTGTTATTGTCACAGGTTCTCTGAAAGTGGAGATGCCAAGAAGGCCTCTTACAGTACACGTGAATGATACTGTCATCATCGGCTGCAAACTCCATGGCTCCTTAAAGCTGAACGCCAGCTTTGTGGGTGTTATCTGGACCAGGGGGGTAGAGAACCAGGTGTTTGAGTTACGTGGTGATACTGAACATGTCACACGACCTGGGGCTGAGGTGTCTCGAGAGAGGCTGCAGCAGGGTGACGCCTCACTGAAGCTGCCTGGGGTGCAGCTGGGGGATGCAGGAGAGTACCGGTGCCGGGTGGTGGTCCCCCCCAATATGGCAGAAGAAACAGTCTCACTGGCCGTTCTGGGTGAGTACCTGAGGACAGTGCCCTGCAGTTGCCCTGGTGCTGGGTTGTGGGGTGGGGATACATTTGGGGACCATGTGGGTTAGAGGGTTAGTGTGTGGGTCTGTCTGCATCATGGGCTCCTGTCCTAGGCTTCTGTAAACATGTGGATTCCTTGAGCAAGTCATTACTCACTGTGAACTTAAGGGCTCTTCCAAAGTGGATTGTAGGTAAGATTGCAGGAAAATAGAGATAAAATGCTTAGCATGGTGCTCAGGCCTCATAAGAGCCCAGTAAATGACAGCCATAGTGACTGTTGTATAATTTACTTCTTATATTATTTATATAATTTACCTCTTATAAGAATCTCATAAGGGCACTCCTATAAGAAGGCACTCCTATAAGAGGTAAATTATATAAACAATAATTTGTATATATATAAATAAGTATAGTTATATATTTATAGTATAGTTGTATAGTTATAATTGTAAATTGTTATATATTTTACCTCTTGTGTCACTAAAGAAGTGGCAGGTCACTGGGAAGGGAGAGAGGTGCTGGGCCCTCGCTTTACTGACCTAAGTCTTATGTGAACCTTGCCACTTCTAACTTATGACTGTGGCCAATCACTTAATATTTTTAATCCTGAATTTTGGCACGTACAATAGGACTGATAACTTCTACGTGCTTCATAGTAAGATATGTGTAAAGCAAGGTTGGTGGCACATGTCTGTAAATCCCAGTGCCATGAGAGGCTGAGGCTGGAGGATCTCAAGTTTGAGGGCAGCCTGGACAACTGGGTGAGATTCTCTTCCAAACTAAAGTCAAACATATAACCGATAAACATAGATGGAGAAAATCCAGCAAAAACATTGCTGAATCGTAATAGCTTAGTGGTAAGGGTGAAAAAATCCAGCTGTCCAATGTAGGTAGGTTCTCAGTCAAGCCTCAAAACATCTCCCATAAAGCTCTTTGAGCCTCTCTGTCCTGTTTTGTGAAAGCCTGTGGTATGTGAGGGAGCTTCTTGGTCTACTAGTTAGTTACTTAACCACAGATGTTTATTTTCATATCATTCTGGATTCTGAGTCTGAATTCAGGGTGTCCGCAGGGTTGATTTCTCCTCAGTCCTCTCTTCTTGAGCTTCTCTGTTTTGAGCCGAGCTAGTGTCCTCTGCACTTGTTCTGGGTGGGCACTGGGTTGCTTCCATATGTTTCTGCATTTGATTCTCTACTGCAGATGTTATTAATTCAGGGATTTCTTTTTTCATTTCCAATCTGAGGTCTTCTATATCTTTCTGCAGCTGTTTTATTTCAGAAGCTGTTGATTCATTGCTTTCAACTGTGTGTTTTCCAATTTTTTAGTGTCCTCTGCACTTGTTACGGGTGGGCTTGGGTTCTGAGGTTGCATTTTGTTCCTTCTCGTCATTTTGTGTAGCACTGTCCTCTGCCCTTTGCTGTAGATCTTTGCTGTAGTTATAACCTTCACACCTACTGAAGTTAAGGTGGAGCTCTACAGAGTTTGGACTTATCCAGCTGCGTCTGGCTTGGGTCTGCCTGCTGTGCTCAGCTCCTTCCTGCTGCGGACCAGGGCTAGGACTGGGTCTGGGGGTTCCCGGAAGTCGGCAGAAAATCCTACTCGGCGAGCGGGGTGGGGGAGGCACTGCGGAGTGGTGGGGGGCGGCCCGAGGGGCTGGGAGAGGGTCCGGCCCACGTTGCGCCTGGGCTGGGACTGGTCCCGCCGGCACAGGGTAGCAGGAAACTCTCCGCACACTCACCGGACCTGGGCTAGGACTGGGTCTGGGGGCTCCCGGAACTCGGCAGAAAATCCTACTCGGCGAGCGGGGTGGGGGAGGCACTGCGGAGTGGTGGGGGGCGGCCCGAGGGGCTGGGAGAGGGTCCGGCCCACGTTGCGCCTGGGCTGGGACTGGTCCTGCCGGCACAGGGTAGCAGGAAACTCTCCGCACACTCACCGGACCTGGGCTAGGACTGGGAGCTTCTCTGTTTTATCTTGGGATCTTTTTTCTGAGTCTGTTTTTTTGTCCTCAGTCTCTTTTATTGAGAAAATGCCAGATACAATAACATGAGGACCTACCCTGACAATCTCATTTCCATATAATCATCTCCTTAAGAATTAATCTTCAGGGGCCTGCGAGATAGCTGAGAAGACTAAAGGGCCTGCTTAGGCCAGTTTGGGCAAGCAATGGGACCATGGTTTGATCGATCCCCAGCAATACATGGCTCCCCAGCCCCACCCCCAGCACCAGCTGAGCAGCCAGAGTCTGGGCATGGTGGTGCATGCCAGTAGTCCCAGGGCTGGGGAGGCTAAAAGCAGGACCACAAGTCTGAGCTGCATGGTGAGACCCTGCAACAACCAAAATACATAAAAATGAATAAAAATAAATAAATAAATAAAGCTTTAGGGCTGGGGAGATAGCTCAGCTGCTTAAGTGCCTGCTTGGCAAGCACAAGGTCCTGAGTTCAATCCCCAGTACCACAAAAATAAATAAATACATAAATACATAAATAATTTTTTTTAAAAAAGCTTTATCTTCAAATCTTTATGTTTAGTGATACTAAGAACTGTGGAGGATGTATGAATTTTAGTGAGATTCAGTTCATAACAAAAGGGCAGCATTTTTTTAAGACATTATTTATTCTGTTAAAATAAAAAACATTGAAAAGAACAGCATTTTGAAGCTCCCACAATGCATTAGTTACAAAAATTTATTAGTTCTGCAACTCACAGAAAACCTGAAATAATGGCTGTAAAATAGAAATGAAGAGTTAGAAGCTAGTCCCATGAGTTCTCTATTCCTACCACTGTACAGTATATATCTTATCATTAATAGCTTGCCTTAGTATAGTGACAATTTAATTTAAAAAACCAGTTTTGATAAGCTATTGTTCATCAAAGTCAATCATTGATTCAGATCTCTTTTTGGCTTTAATTAATATCCATTTTCTGTTCCGTGATCCGTCCAGAACACTGCATACCTTTCTTTTGCCTGTCTCCTCAGTCTCTCTCTGGCTGTGACAGTTTCTAAACTTTTCTTGATTTTGATGTCTTGGGCACCTGTCAGGAGTAGTGGTCAGGTATTAGGAGGATGCCACTCTCTTGGAATCCATTTGCTGCTCTTCTGATGTGACTTGGGGTTTGGTTTTTGGAGGGTGGTCACAGAGGTAAGGGGGGTTTGTATCACACATTCCAGCACACAATTTGAGTCTCTTGATGTTGCTGTTGATCACCATCTGCAGTAGCATTAGTCTCCTTCACTGTTCAGTTCCTCTTGCTCCCTGCTTCTGTGTTCTGGTCTTTGCAAATGGGTCACAGATTTTATGAGGCAAAGAGAGAAAAAGGCAGCTGGTTTGGGGCCCAACTCTATGTCGTTTCTTCCCTGCAGCTCCGCCAGACTGCACACTGCTTCTGGAGCAAACCACAGAGAAAAATAATGGAAGTAATGGCAGTCACCTTGTGTGCCAATGTGGTGGGTTCCACCCAAAAGACATTAGCATAACATGGGAGAACTACCAGAGTGTTTCCCAGTACCAAAGGATGTCCACTGACTTTCGGACTGGTCCTGTCATCAAGAATAAGGATGGTACATTGAATGTGACCAGCTACTTGAAAATCAGTTCCCTTCTGGAAGACAATTTGATCAACTACCGCTGTGTGGTGCAGCACCCATCCTTGTCCCCTTCCTGGAGGCTGAACATCACAGTGCCTGTGGGAAGTAAGTGTCTTCTTGCCCATTTCCTCGCTATTTATTCATTTCTTTATTGGATCTGGGAATGGAACTCATGACCTCGCGCCTGCCAGGTAGGCACTTTGCTGCTAAGCCATATCCCTGGTCCTGTTTCCTCCCTGTTACATCTAGGGCATATCATGCATCTCTCTGGTTCCTGGCCAGTCTAGATTCCTTCCTTGTATTTGACAGGGAAAAGAAATAAGCTGGGCTAAGGGTACAAGCTGGGGTCTGGGCCAGCTCAGGCTCAGAGGCCACACAGTTTGAGTTCAGTTCCTGTGCCCAGTCAAATGCTGTGGACAGGAAAAGGCTTGACAGCAGTCATGAGGTGGAAAGAGGGCTACTTGTTAGCTTGTGGCAACCCTCCTGCTTCAGTTTGTTCCCATCTATGAATGTTCACAAGGTGAGGTCCATTTGCGTCTTCAAAAGTTCCCAGCTCCAATGTTCGCAAATTGGGGCTTTTTGTACTCAGATGTGGGAGATGTGAGTGATAGCAGTGGGGATGCTGAAACCTGTGGCTTGTGTTTGGTGGTGGGATCCCTTGACAGGAAAGTGACACAAATCTCACTGGTGCTAGCAGCAGTTGGGTTGTATGGGGTGTCTTAGGCTCATGCCAATGGTTTCTCTTTGTTCTCCTGTTTTTCTTTCTTTCTTTTTTTTCTGCAGAAACTAATACAACACCTCTGGATAGCTCTGGATACATGTGGATCCTTGCTCCTGCTTCAATTGCACTGATTTTATTAGTGATTTTATGTATTACTATTTGGAGAAGGTAAGGGGCTTTGTCTTAGTTACTTTTCTTGTTTCTGACACAAAATACCTGAGAACTGAAGTGAAAGATGGAAAGGTTTATTCGTCTCACAGTGTGTCGAGGTTTCAGCCCATAATTTGCAGGCTCCAAGGATGGTAGCTTGTTCCAGCAGCACATTTTATGACAGATGGAATGTTGCAAAAGAAATAAGGAACCTTAGGTTTTTTTATTATTATTTTCTTCCCTACCTCCTGTGCATTCTATTGATGCTATTGCGATTGGGGCAGTGCTAGACCAATCAGTGGACTGATATGGTAATCACACACCCGCAATCCTAGCATGGTACCCTAATTACACACTCTAGATCCAGCCACCTCGGGAGAAGCCTCATCTAATCACTTCATGATGCTTTTTTGGGAGATAACTAGACACAAGCCATAACATTTTCTGAAAGAAAATGTAGTCCTATGTTTTGGCCTTGGCTTCAAAACCTCAGGATCATGGTCAGTGCTTGGGGTCAAGGAGTTCTGAGGGCTGGCACTGGTGTGTGGTGATTGTTGTGTGGTGTTCTCTCTGATGTCATGGGGAAGCACTTTGCCCTGCAATCACCATGTGCTGGTTTCTGACTCTAAGTCAATGCACTTGGAGCTCCCTTTGGCCCTGTACAATACACCTGTCTGCAGACTGAATCTAACCAGGGGAACTCAGACCAGGGCTTTGACCATGGCAGCTCAGCTGGGTGCAGGTCATGCAGTTCTTACACACAGAGCCCACAGCTGAGAGCAGGGAGCTCCTCCCATGGTTGCTCGTGTCTGTTTCATACCTCAGTGGGATCACTCACCATGATTTCACTGGCTTGGCCAAGAGTCTTTTCACCTTCAGTTTGTTTCTGCACAGAATCCTTGATTGTGGCCCAAATAGCAAGTGACACAGCCTTAAGCTTTGCAGACCCAAGAGCCCAGGGAGATTGTTTTTGTTCAAATGGTTCTATCTTTGTTTTTTCTACTTTCAGTGCTGGGGCTTGAACTCAAGACCTCAAGCATGCTAGGCAAACACCCTACCCCTGGGCTATAGCACACTGCCTAAAATTGTTCTAGAGCATACATTCTTCTTAGTTATGCATGGTCCTGCCAGGGTGAAATCTGTGCTTGTGCCCGTACTTAACATGGGAAGTGAAAAGTCAGAAACGGCCTTTGTCCTGAGGAGAACTGCTCATCACACATTGGTTAAGTGATGTGTGGAGCTTATTCTCCTGGTGGGAGGTAAACCAATGAGAGAACTGGGTGTAGAGTGGTTTTCACATTCTTTTTTAATATGCCTGATTGTTTTTCTATTTTTGTCCTTTGTTTAATTCTGCTATGCAGGTACCATTCTTATCACCGAATACGCAGAAGTGACATTGAAGAAGAAAGCACAGTCCTGAGAAGTGTGGCCGGGTGCCCAGCTGACTGCAGTCATCCCATGGGTGACTGGAATCCTTCCCTCGCAGTTTACATGGTTGAGTTCAAGCCTCTATGCATCTCCATGTCCTCACTGTTTGCTGTATCTTTACAGTGCCCTGCAGTCCCCTCCGTGGATATGGGGTTCAAATATGTGCCTTAGAGTTTTCAATACAAGAAAAGGACTGCAGGCCAGTTCCCCGTGTGGCTGCTGGGAGGCCTTTCCTGTCTTCCTTGCTGTCCTTGGTGCATCTGGCCTGAGAAGGAGCAATCCAGGCTGACTCCTGGAGAATCAATGCCACAGGAAGCCCGCCCCCATCATTCTAAGTGAAGGGACAGCTGTCCATCTCCACTCTGGCGATCTACTTCTGCTCAGCAGCTCTAACAGAACCAGAGCTCAGGAAAAGAGAAAATGTTTTAAAATGTATTTAATAAGAAAAAAATAAAACACTTCCAAATAAGATAATAGGATAATAAAGATCATTACATGGTATATTGTCTTTTTCATATTAGTTACTTGATGTATCTGATATAGACATTGAATTATTCAAACTATTAGTACAAACTTTCTTTTCAATGAACTAAGAGGAATTAGTAGCATATTTACCTTAACTATCATATATATATGTGTGTATATATATCCAAATATATATGATTGCTTTTGTGTTCTTTTTCTTCTTTTCCCACATTCCCGTTTTTCTTTCCTTTTTAACAGTCTCCCCATTTTACAATACTTACTGTATAGTTTGGATCTTACTTATTTCTCAACTTTTTGAACTAAGGAGACAATATGATAGTTGCACATGTGTGTCTGGTTTATTTCACTTATTAGTATGGTTCAGGTTGCATCCATTTACCTATAAAAGTCTCCCATTTATCCTTATTTATGGCTAAGTAGTAGTACATCATACAAAAAGACCACATATTTTTAACCCATTCCTCAGTTGTTGGGCACTTGGACTGTTTTCAACTTCTAACTATTATAAATTGTGCTGCTATAAATATGGTTGCACATATATCACTATAGCACAATGTTTTTTAATGCTTCTGGGAAAATGCCCAGCAGCAGAATCAGTGGTTCAAGTGGGAGCTCCAATCGTAGTTTTTTGAGGAATCTCCCCTTTGATTTCCACAGTGGTTGTACCAGGCTATATCCCCAGCCACAGGGAAGAAAGGTTCCTTTTTCCCTACAGCCTCTAGCATTTGTTATTAGTTATTTTCTTGGTAATAGCCACTGTTCATGGAGTGAGATGGAAACTCAGTGTTGTTGAATTTGTATCTCTTAAATGACCAGCGATGTGGAACATTTTTTCATCATTTGTTTATCTTACAAGTGTGTACTCTTCTCAGATGCCCATTTTTGGACTGGGTCTTCAAATTTGGAAGGTCTGATATTTTTGAGTTCTTCATATGTTCTTGATAGTAATCCTTTGCCTGAAGAACACCTGGCAAACATTTCTTCTAGCATTGTTAGTTTAGTCTTTACTATGTTGGTGATTTTCCTTGCTGTTCCAGTGGTTTTTTAAAATTTATTTTTAAATATGATGAGTTCCCAATTGTTGATTCTTCGCAATAGTTCTTGTACAATCAAGGTTGTATTCAAGAAGTCTTGGGCTGGGGAGATGGCTCAGTAGAATAAGCACTTGCCTGGCAAGCACAAGGGCCTGAGTTCAATCCCTGATTCTGCCAAAAAAAAAAAAAAAAGATTTAAAAAAATAAATAAACAAAAGAAGTCTTTGCCTTCCCTACTGCCTTTAAGGATTTTACCTATTCTGTCTTCCAAGTTTAATGTTTCTGTTTTAATATTTAGATCTTTGATCCATTTGAAATTTAGTTTAAGGCATGGTGAATGATGTGGGTGCAGTTTTAATGTCAGGCCTGGATAGGGCCAGTTTTCCCAGCACATTTTATTTTATTTTTGTATTTTAGTACAGGGTCTCACTACACAGATCAGACTCTGGTGATCCTTCTGTTTTCAGCCTCCCAAGTGCTGGGATTATAGGCGCACGCCACCAGCCCAGTTTTAGTCACCATCTCAGTGCACCCTGGGGGTGGGGCTGCTGGGGCACATTGGGGAAGGAACCCTAGCCACTGTGTCTGCCTAAGCAGGTGCTTTAGTCTGCTGAGCTATCTGACTGGCTCTTCCAGCACATTTATTAAACAGTCCATCTTTCTACCATGGATTATGTTTGGCATCTTTCTCAAAGCTAATGTGGCTGAGTAGCTCTAGAATTCTTTCTGCATCTTCTACTCTGTTCCATTGATCGTTAGGTCTGTATTTCTTGTCGGTACCTGCGGAGGTGGTTTTCATGATAGTAGCTTTATAATATAATTCAAAGTCCGAGATTGCTTGTGTTGCCCCAGATTGCCTTTGCTATTCTAGGTCTCTTCTGGTTCCAAATATATTTTAGGATTGTTGTCTCTGATTCTGTGAAATATATGTGGAATTTTGATTGGAATTCTATTAAATCTGAATCACTTCAGTTTTGGAAATATGGCAATTATCATTATATTGGTTTTTCTTGTCCAGAAGCAAGAGATGTCTCCATTTTTTTACGTCATCTTCAATCTTTTTTAGAGTACTGTAGTTTTCAGAGTCTTTTATATACTTTGTTAGATTGATCTCTATGTATTTAATTTTTCAGGGATGCTATTATTAAAAGTGTTGTCTGTCTTAATTTCACTCTCAGTGAGCTTGTCACTCAAGTACAGGAAGGTTATTAATGTTTGAGTGTTCACTTTTGTCCTTTTCTTTTTTCCCATGTATTTTGGTACAGGGCCTCACTGTGCAGCTTGAACTTGTAATGACCTGTTTTCAGCTGCTGCAGCCCTGGGATTACATGTGTATGCCCTCTTGCAGCATCTCATTGGCTGGCTTAATGTATACTGTGGCAGGGCTGGGATTGAACCTGTGTCCCTGTGCTTGCCTAAGCAGGAGCTTAGTCCACTGAACTATTTCACCGACACTTTGAGGGTTTACTTTGTATGTAGCTGTGCTACTAATAACATCTAGATGTAATAACTAAATTCAGGGACTTTGGGAGATAGCTCAGCTGTCTAATTGCTTGCATAACAAGCACAAGTACCTGGCTTAGATTCATACTACTACATGCACCTTAGGCACATTGTGCTGGCCACAAACTGGGCCTAATGGCATGGGCCTGAAATTCCAGCACTGGGGAGGCTGAGGCCGGAGGATCACTATGAGTCAGAGCTGTGTAGTAAGACCCTGTACCAAATAAATAAATAAAAGATTTTAAAAAACCCCCCAAAAACTAACAGTAGCATAGGTCATAGCACACACATACTTGCCACCATTCTAACAGTCACTTATTGTCAAGCCACTCCTTTCTTCATGAATGAATAAAACTCAGGCTCAGCCTTGGTTTCAGGCCATTGTTCCAGAGAACCATAATTGCAGTTGGACTTAGGGCTCCTTGGCTCCCCATAACTACAAATATACCCTACCATCTTTATTCTAGCTATGGGTTCACTGGGAATGGCAAATTGGAATAAACTCCCTAGAATTCCACCAACTTTCATGGAATTACCAACATAAACTTCTGAGGCTGGGTCCAGGACCCAGATGGACTCTGTGTAGTATTAGTGTTAGCTTTCCTCTCAATTTCTTTTTCCTTTTTTTTTTGGTGGAACTGGGGATTGAACCCAGGCCCTTACGCTTGCCAGCTTAGTGCTTATTCTACTGAGTCACCTCCCTGGCCCCTTCAATTTCTTATAAAATTCAGCAGTGATTCTGTCAGGTCCTGGGCTTTTCTTTGTAGGTTGGTTTTCAATTACATTTTAAATTAATTGATACTGTTTTATTTAGGATTTTTATATCTTCTTAAGTCAGCTTTGGTATTCACATATACATAGGAATTGGTCCATTCCTGCTGCATTTTCCATATTTTTAGAATATCAGTTTTAAAAGTAGGTGTGTAGATGACCTTGACTTATCCAGGGTGTATATTGATTTCATCCTTTTGACTCCTAATTGCATGGAGTTGAGTTTTCTTTCCTTTTATTGATAAATTGAATAAGGATTTGTTGATTTTATTTAATCTGTCAAAGAATCAACTTAATTTATTCATTCATGCATGTTTCCTTAGTCTCCAAAGCATTAATTTCTGCTCTTATTTTTTAAAATATTATTTTTATTATATTATATTAAAGTATAATATTTTAAAATATTATTTTTTAAAATATTTATTGAGAAACAAATAGCAATGAGATAGTTTCAAAACCAATTAGTAGGACAGTTTCAATAATTAATACATTGCATATTGTTGTCTTCTTAGTGGTTATTCATACTACAAGATGCAGATATGATATCCTGTCCACAAACACTATTAGTATAAATCTTTCTATTCATTGTATTAAGAGAAAGTAGCTGTATATCCTGACTATATTGAATATACAGATACAAAATGTTCCTTCATTTTTATCCCTTTTTTCTGTTTGGTTTTGTCAGAGATGGGTATTCCATTGTCATTTAAATATTGTAGGTGCATGAATTCAGCCAAATATTCCAATATAGTCCAGTAGTCCATAATAGTAGTGGATTATCTGTAGCACTGGTGATGTCAGAAATTGTTGACTTCAGCCTTTTACAGCTCAGCATATTAATATGGCTTTACTTTTTATACTTTTCTGCTGGATGGTTGAAGCCAAGACAAAGCAATACCTATATAACAAGAAATGTAACTTTTTTTTTTTTTTGGTGGAACCGGGGATTGAACTCAGGTCCTTGCACATGCCAGGGAAGCGCTTACTCCACTGAGCCATCTCCCCGGCCCCAAGAAATGTAACTTTTGTATCTGACAAGGTCAGTCAAATCCCCTCAGGATTTATCTTGAAACCCTGTACCGCAGTTTGTAGATCCTTTTTCAGTGTCAGCCATGTGAATGAGTCATGGCCATTGCTTGACCAAATTAATTTCTGTGAAAGCCTGAGAGAATATTTTGTCTACATGTGACTCTCCTTAAGCACACTCTACATCATAGATCACTTTCCTCTGTGGCCCCATAATCTCCCTGATCAGAAAATTTGGGATGCAACTGAGTTTCATGATGTCATGGTACAGGTTCTCCTATGTCTTGAGTCCTCATTGACCTTAAAAGACTAGGGTCAAAATGTTGGCTGTCCTAGCAGCTCTTCTTTTGCTCTAAATTTTGTTCTTCAAACCTAAGTTGTTAACCCTCCGGAAGAGAAGCTCTTTATTATTACCCTACTTCATAGGCAGTTGAGTTTTACCTCACTATCTGTCTGAATGTTGAACATCTTAGACTTTACATGGAACAGGTATTTTCCAACAAATATTGATATGTTAAACTTTAAGTCCCTACAGAATATGAAGAAAAACAAATAAAAAATAAAATTAAAAAATAGGAATAAACAATTACATATTTTTACACAGAAATTTAGAAATCTAACCATACACAGCATTGTAGCAGGACAGTCCTATGACATTTTTTTTTCTTGTGTCTTGTTTTCATTTATTACCTTTTTATACACAAACATTTGCTTGGAGATAGTATGGCAGTAATTGGTATGCCATGACAAGCATTGTGTATTTAGAAGGCCAGAATGACAGACATTCCAAGCATGACCCTAGTATTACACATTACCATCTTCAGTGCAGTTGCTTAGTTCACAGGTATCAGCATATATAGTTAGTCAGGCTGAGAATCCTACCAATTAACTGCTAGTTTCAAAAACCTGCTGAAGATTCTCAGGATCATTGCCTTGACCATCTTGTGCATGTAAATGTATGGCTTTGCCCCTGTCATGTTT